GACCAGACGGCCCGTAAGATCAACCTGGCCAAGTTCATCCACAGCAAGTGCTCCGCCCTCATTGTGACCGACCTGGCCGCCCGTGGCTTGGACATCCCGCTGCTGGACAACGTCATCAACTACAGCTTCCCCGCCAAGGGCAAGCTCTTCCTGCACCGCGTCGGTACGGGCCACTCCCACCAGGAACCGAGGGCATAGGGCTCCACTTGGGAAGTTGAGGCCGGGAAGGAGAGTCTCTCAGGGGGTACAGGCCCCCTCCTTTCCAGGCTGGCTTGCCAGTTTCCTGCAGTAGCCCTTGCACATGCGGTTCCCTGGTCCCGTCTCCCAGACTATTCTACCTGAACCACTGCGTCTCTGTGGCTCCTCTCCCGGGTCCTTTTATAAAACCAAATCCTCTGCCTCTGACTCAGTTCTGACACATAGCGCCCCCTATAGGACAGGGTAGAACTGCCCCTGTGGGCTCCTGAAGGTTGTCCTTATGGGAGCAGGAAGCCTCATCTTTCTCCTTCAGAGTGGCTGGTGGTTTTGAACTGCAGACCTTGTGGTTAGCCCAACACATAACCCATGGCGCCATCAGGGCTCCCAGGTCCCTTAGCAACCATTTAAATGACATTTAGAGTCATGAAGGTCCCTGGGTGGCGCCAATGGATTGCACATGATATTGACCCCGAGGTTTGTAGTATGAGCTCACCCAGAGGTACCTCCTACGAAAGGCCTAGACCTACGCACTTGTAACAATGGCAGCTCAGAAACATCCCACAAGGAGGCTCTCCCGCACCTGGCCATTGCAAGCCGGGCAGGTGGGTGGCTGCACTTGCTGGGTGATAGGCGTGATATAGAAAGCCCCCACCCTGGGCAGTGGGCCTGGAGGTCATGTCTGATGGTCCGGTGGGCTGGTCCGGTGGGCTGCAGAGCAGGGAGCGTTCCCATGCCCAAGTCGCTGTAGCCCGGCGCTTTCCTCCTGGGACGGCACTGCTGAAGATGGGATAGGGCCGTGCCTGGTCTGTGGTCTGGCCCACTTTCCCAGCATGCCCTCTGAGGGTGAGTGTCTCCTCCCCGCAGGCCGGGTGGCCCGAGCCGGCAGAAGTGGCACAGCCTACTCCTTGGTGGCCCCAGACGAGGTCCCCTACCTGCTGGACCTGCACTTGTTCCTGGGCCGATCGCTCACCCTCGCCCGCCCCCACGAGGAGCCCCCAGGTGAGTGGGCGCGGGACCCAGTGAGGCTTCCCCATAGTGCAGGCTGTGGGCAGGGGTGAAGCTTGTCTCCTCCTGGCTGGGGGAGGAGGCAGGGATGGTTTGGCCTCAGGGCCCTCAGTTTGCTGGTCTCTAACATGGGCTAATGAGACACCGCTGGTCGTTGGGCCTCCCCTCCTCTTGCTTTTGTGTGTTACCCTTGGTAACAAGTCCAGTGCCCAAGGACACTTCAGGGCAATGCAGGCCCTCTGCTCCGAGGCTTGTGGGCACAGGGACATGCCTGGCACATCGTAAGCCTGTAACTGGACCTCCTGTGTGCTCTGCTGCGTCTGCCTCTGTAAGCTAGCCTCCCTGGGCCTCAGTTTTCTCATCTGAAAGATGGGCATGCCAAGGAGAGACCCAATGGTGCAGCGCAGGCGTCTGCACGCTGTTTCTTCCCAGGCTGGCTGATAAATATTTTGGGTTGGGGGCCGCTCCTTGGCTATGCTGTGGCAGCCCCCAAAACAGACATCCCAACCAAACTCAGGGCCGTGGAGTTGGTTTTGACTCGTACTGACCCCGCTGGACTGAGTGGAGCTGCCCCTGTGGGCTTCTGAGGCCGTCCATCTGGAAAGGCACCCATCTTTCCCTTGGGGAACAGCCGGTGGTTTCCAACGGCGCGTGACCTTGTGGTTGGCATCCCCGTGAGCGCGTAGTCTGCGCCGCCTCCGGGGGATCGCTATGGAGAGTGAACAGGCGAGCCACAGGGACGGTATAAGCAGGGCTCTGCAAAGCAGGTGGCCAGGCCGGGCGGCCTCTGACGGGCACTGTGTGGCCAGCAGGGGCAGCCAGCGTGGACGGTGTGCTGGGCCGGGTGCCGCAGAGCGTGGTGGACGACGAGGACTGCGGCCTGCAGAGCGCGCTGGGGGCCTCGCTGGAGCTGCGGGGCCTGAGCCGCGTGGCCGACAACGCTCAGCAGCAGTATGTGCGCTCCAGGCCAGCGCCCTCGCCCGAGTCCATCAAGAGGACCAAGGCACTGGACCTCACAGCACTGGGCCTGCACCCGCTCTTCAGTGAGTTCCCTCTGGGACTGGCAGGGACGGGGCGGGGCAGGCGGCAGGCGAGCCCCGTGGAATGAGCCCCCCACCTCTTCCTCCTGCCCGCAACCCCCCTTACCCCAGGCCTGCGCTTCGAGGAGCAAGAGCTGCAGCGGCTGCGGCTGGTGGACAGCATCAAGAAGTACCGAGCCCGGGCGGTGAGTGACCGTGCGCCGGTTCACGGGAGCCTGGGCCATGGGGCAGCTGGGGGCTGCACCCAGCAGCATGGCTGCCAGCAGGCACACACCATCTATGGATGGGTAGACTGAGGCATGGGGGAGGCACAGGTTCCTGAGGCCTGAGACGCTGGCTTCTGACTGCCCATCCCTTTGCCTGGCCGTGTCCCATGCAAGGAGGACCTGTTGTCAGGGCTGAGGCCGAAATCGAGCACTGGCTTCTCTGGGCTGAGTGACTGAATGGGTGGGTCATCATCCTCTCTGAGCCCTTGCCTTGTGGGTGGAGGTGATAGGGTGCCCACTAGTGGAACTGAGAGGCCCTGGGGGTCCCAGCGCAGCTATGAGGGGAGGGCTGGGGAGCTGTGGGGGCAGCTGGAGGTGAAGCAAGTGGATGCCCCCTGCAGACCATCTTTGAGATCAATGCCTCCAGCCGGGACCCGAGCAGCCAGGTGATGCGTGCCAAGAGGCAGAAGGACCGAAAGGCCATCGCCAGCTTCCAGCGGCAGAGGCTCCAGGGGCAGCAGGAGGGTCCCAGCGCCCCTGCCCCTGCTCCCGCCCCCACGGAGGAGCAGCCCGAGGGGCAGGAGGAAGAAGAGGACTTGGGAGCCGGTGTGGAGGTACAGAGCTGCCCCTGGAACTCCGAGGCTGCAGGCTGGGTGGGGTTACCGCGCAGGCTGGGTGGGGTAACTGTACAGGCTGAAGCTGGGCCCGTCGGTCAACCTGGCCAGTCTCTGCTGGCCCGAGAGCAGGTGGGAACAATGGGTAGCCGCCAGAGACCCCAAGTCCCCAGCCGACAATGTGAAGCCCCTGCTCCGATGGGTTGGGACTGGGGGGACATCCCGGGCATGACGCTGGGCCTTGGTGGCCAGGATGTCTTCACAGAGGTTGTGAGCAGGAAGCGGCCGCGGCAGCCAGGCCCTGACGGGGGCGCCAAGCGGCGGCGGGCAGAGGCACAGCAGCACGACCCAGACTTCTATGTGCCCTACCGGCCTAAGGACTTCGACAGTGAGCGAGGGTGAGCGGGATGGGGCCTGGCGCTGGGCACCTGGGGCTGGGGCCCTGGAGCTCCCCCGTCACACCTTCCCATCCTCTCTGCAGCCTGAGTGTCGGGGACAGTGGGGCCTTCGAGCAGCAGGTGGCCGGTGCCGTCCTGGACCTGATGGGCGATGAAGCCCAGAACCTGACTCGGGGGCAGCAGCAGCTCAAGTGGTGAGTGCGCCGGGGCCCCCCTCACTATCCAGGCCTCCCAGGCAGCAGAGCCCCCTACACACATGACCTCACACAATAGGATGGACCCTGCTAGTGGTCTTTGCCAAGGCACCCTGCTAGTGTAGTGGCTGAGTGCTCAGCCACTCCCTGAAAGGTCGGCAGTTCAAGGCCAGCCGGGCCTCTGTGGGGGCAGTTCTCTGTCTTGCGTGGTGGCTTCCTCAGTGGCAGTGGGTTTGGGGGTTTGGTATTTGTAGGTGGGGGAGGGGGTTGGTCCGAGAAGCCCTCCCACCGGGCAGCCCCTGCCCTGCCCCAGGCCCCCAGTTGGTACCAGGGCCCTTTCCCCACACCTCCGATTGGGCAGCGGGGACTTGCTGAGGGGCAGAGCACCTCCGAGATGCCAGTGAGGAGGGAGGCTGCCCACAGTCCCCCCACTCTCCCCCGAACCATGCTGCGTGCCCCCCATTCCTCCCGCAGGGACCGGAAGAAGAAGCGGTTCGTGGGGCGCTCTGGGCAGGAGGACAAGAAGAAGATCAAGACAGAGAGTGGGCGCTACATCAGCAGCTCCTACAAGCGTGACCTGTATCCTCAGGGCTGGGACGGAGTATGGGCGGTTGGGGGCGGGACCTGAGCTGCTGGGGCAGGGCGGGAGGGTGGAGTCAGGCCAGGGAGACTGCTCCCAGCTTCCTGAACGCCTGCCAGCTACCAAAAGTGGAAGCAGAAGCAGAAGATTGATGACCGGGACTCAGAGGAGGAGGGGCCGAGCCAGCGGCGAGGCCCCCCGCAGAGAGGCAGGAGGAGGCACCAAGGCCCAGGTAAGTGCAGGGCAGGGAACCAAGGCCCAGAGGGTGCAGTTGCCAGTGATAGCAGCCTGTCTCTGTGGGTCCCTTCATCCGCCCACACCCAAACCCTCAGGCGCCCCTCCCTGCCCTGGCCCTGGGGGGGCCTCTGCTGGTCTCTGCCTCTGGTCCTGCTCTTTCTCTCGAGCCATCTGAGTGTCTTTCTCTCTGCCCTCTGTCTGTCTTCCTCTCCCCTTCTTTTTCTCTCTGCCTGTGCCCTAGTGCGCAGGTGCGCCTCTCCCAGGCAGACCCTGCCTCTCCTGGGCCCTCTCTCCCTCCCCTCATTCCTGGCCTCACATGGCGGCCAGGGAGGGTGGCTAGGAGGTGAGGGGAGTTTGTCTGGGGACACCTGTTGCTGCTCTCTGGTCCGCCCTGACGGGAAATGTGGGTTCCTGTCAGGCGCCTTGGCCCAGTGACTGTATGTCAGGGAGCCTGGCCAGGTCCCTGTGGTGGGAGGGCCCGACTGGCAGAGCGGGTGGAGAAACGGGACTCAGTGGGGTGCCAGGAAGGCGGGTGGCGATTGCCCTCCCCGGAGCTGGAAGAGCAGGTCAGCCCTCCCTGCGGCAGCTATGCTTGCTGTGTGACCTTGGCCTCAGGCCTGCTAACCTAAAAGTCATGGGTTCAGACCCCACTCCCACCCCGCTCAAGCTGCAAAAAAGAAAGGTGACGGCTTCCAGAGAGGTTTAGAGCCCCGGGCCTCCAGGGGGCAGGTCTGCCCTACCCTGCAGGCCCCGTGCTCTGCACGTAGTATTAGCTCATGCACACACGCCCCGGTAGCTTCTCAGGAAGAGGGTGTTACTCCTAACCTACAGGTGGGGAAACTGAGGTAGGGAACAGTAAGGAGGGGAGGTCCAAGAGGTGGCTATTGGGGTTCAAGCCCCTGCAGTCCCAGTTCCAGGCTGCACGCTGTGGTGCTCTTTAGTCAGTCTGTCTGGACCCCCAATCTATGCCTGCCAGACGCCACTGCCAGGCATGTATGTGGAGGTGGGGAGCAGCCTGGGACTGCTGGGCAGAGGAGATGGGGAGGGTTGGCACAGACCCCTGGATTGAGCCCTGGGCTCCCCACTGCAGGTGCCTCGCCCCATCCCACGGGCACCCCCACAGGCCGAGTGCACTCTGAGCTGAAGACCAAGCAGCAGATCCTGAAGCAGCGACGCCGAACACAGAAGATGCACTTCCTGCAACGCGGGGGCCTCAAGCAGCTCTCAGCCCGCAACCGCCACCGAGCCCGGGAGCTACAGAGGGGCGCCTTTGGCCGGGGCGCCCACTGCAAGAAGGGCAAGATGAGGAAGAGGATGTAAGGACAGGGACCCGGCCCCACGGGCTCACTGGCACCCACTTCCGGAGTTCCTGCTGCAAGCCTGGGCCTGTGCTGGGGGGCCATTCCTCCAGGGCCCTGAAGGCTGCCTAGGAGTTCGCCAGCAGAGCTGGGCAGGCCATGCCCTGAGCTGGTGCTACTTGACGTGGCTGCCGCGGCTCCCATATGTGCCTGTGGACGGGGACATTGTTGTTTTCCGTGTAATAAACCTTGATGGAGCACTCCTGGTGGCCTGGTGTCTGAGGGGCTATATAGGTGGGGGCATCCCAGCAGGGGCTGCGGTCGTCAGCCACGGGTGCTCCCCTTGGGCTGAGTCCTGCCTGTGTGTCTGTTACACAGTAGCGCAAGCTAAGGTCGGGGAGCTTTGTGTGGGAGCCTGCAGTTGGGTGGAAACTGGGAGACAACAGGGTGCACGGTCTTGGGTCTGAGGGCACAGTGCTCCCCTCTGATCAGCCTCAGGACCACCATGCCCCACGGTCATAGCCAACTCTGCCCTCAGCCCTGGCTTCCTGCATACCGCCAAGTCCCCCTCCTGTGGGGTCCTGAGAAGGTCAAGGGAAACCTCCAAGGGTTGGGTTATGAGCCTGCCTGAGACCACAGTGGGGGGGCCTTGTGGGCAGATAGCTGCCTGCTTCAGTCTGCATGTACTATGTTCCAAACCACCCACCAGCCGATTCCTGTTCATAGCAACCGTATGAGTTTCTCCCAAGGTTCAAACCACTGACCTTGTGGGTAGGTGACAGCCCCACAAATCACACCATCACCAGTGCCCCATGCCAGGTTCCAAGCCACTGGCTGAAAACTCATTTCTCTAAACCCCTGCCCTGGGATTGGAGGGTGTGGCCCCGGCCCTGGTTCACAGGTGAGGTGCAGGTGCCAGGTCACATGGTACCTGGGGGGACTACAGGGACTAGCATCCCCCACAAAGCCCCTCATAACATCACCGTGGGCCATATGTTTTGGGTACTAGCTTTGTGCTTAAGCCCCCAACACGAGCAGGCTCAGCCTGGTCCCCCTTTTAGGTGAGGAAGCCAGTTTGGGGAGAGCCAGTAGTGCCCAGACTCCCCAGGATATGTGGCCCTCACCCCTACTCACCGGAGTCAAGGTTCAGCCTGGCGCAGGCTGGCCAGCATGCCAGACAGGTCTTGGAAGAACAGCTTTACCTGAGGACCGCAGCGGGAGTCACAGGGTCACTCTCCAGCCCACTCACCCCCGGCCCCCCTCGAGCTGGACAAAGAGGGCTGGAGGCTGGAGACCCCGGTGAAAGGGCCAACAGTGGGGTTCCCAGTAAGCCCCTAGCCAGCAGAAGACCACCTTTCTGCTGGCTTGCCTACTTTAAACCCAAATGTTGGCACTTTGAATCTACCAGCTGCTCCGTGGGAGGGGCCTAACAGCGACCTTACAGATGGCTGCCTCCGAAGCCCCGTGGGGCGGTTGTCCTCTGGTCCAAGGCTCGCTGTGAGTCAATTTGGCCAAGGCCCACCGCTGCAGCATGAATGACCGCTCAGCTGCCTACACTGCTGCCATGCCCCGTGGCCCTGGAAGCTGGTCTGGTTTGAGGCATTGGATGCTGGGAGGAAGGGGAGGGGCGCTTGTGGCATAATGGAAATGGGATCTACCAGCACCTGCCCTGCACCTGCTGAGAGCGGGCTTCACCTTCACATCATTGTCTGATTCGACTGCAGAATCAAACCTGCAAGCCAGGACTCCCAGGCTCCGGCCCAGCGGGGTGGGGGGTGGGGGGTCTCCAGCTCCGATCACAGAAGGTAGCCCACCTCGCTGGTGGGATTTCTGGTCCCATGGTGGTTC